GCCAGCCGTCACAATGTTTTCTTCTCATTCTGTTGGTAGAACTAGTTTAGTGCTCAGTAGTAAAACTAAATCTTTTCCTACGTCGTCACGTGTCCCCAACACAGATAGCTTGCAGTCCACTACTGTGACTGGTGTTCTTTCTTCATCTTCTTCTGAAACTTCAAGTATTTCTCCATCCGTGTCATCTTCAGTTACCTCTTCTACTGCAACAACCACTGTTTTGACTCTTTCTTCTACAACACAATGTCCCGAGTCTATCTCTGTTACAATAGTCTCTTCGCCTTCCACTGCACCATGCATGCAAATGGAACACAATACTCAAGTTTCTTCTATGCCCACTATCCCGTTATCTGTTTTTACCTCTACTACTGAAATGGCCACCTCTGTTAGTTCCATCCCCATGAGTTCTATTTTTCCTTCAAAATTGCATACTTCGTCAGAAACCGAGCCCTCCAACATCACTGATGCTCCTAGTTCTATCAGCCCTGGAACTGTTCCCATTAACACTGTTTTGATGAGCACACAAAGAGCCATCATCGGGCCGAAAAAGAACCTGCACTTAGTAACTACCACACGTGCACCTGGCTTCAGTCGCCTCTCGCTGATCAGAAAACCAAGGAGCAGATATTCAACCGCCATGTTGACTTCAAGCAAGTTTACCAGCCGCACCCCATCCAGTACCAGGAATTCAGGAATACCGTTGGCCACCCTTGCATCACCCAGGACAACTTCGACCAGTACTCAGATGACCATGCAGGCTAGATTGAACGGCATCCCAGGTTGGATCTCCTGCCTCCTTGTTGCCTTTCCTCCATCTCCTGCTAAATTCCCATGATCAAGGTCAGTCCTGTTTCAAACTTTCCCTTTTTCCTCTGCTACCCAGGCCCTTGTTACAATGGTGGCACCTTGATTCAGGGTAGCTGTTCCTGCCCCAGAACTTTCTATGGCTCCCTCTGCCAGTTTGCTGTGGAACAGATGGATATAGGTGAGTTGCTCTTTGCACTTTCTCTTAATAGTTGCCACTTACTCTCCCTTAGCCCAGGCACTTTGCCCAGTCACTTCATCCCTGCCCTCTTCCCCATGCTCCCCACTACCCCGTACCATGCCTCCTTTTCCCCTTCACCTCCAGGAGGTAGCCAGGGCCATGCTCTTTCCTGGGACCTCCACTCTGTCTGGGCTGATTGGAGGTATATTGTTTTCTGCTGTAATAAATTACCACAAACTTAGCAGACGAACAATACAAATTTTTTATTTTACATTTCTGTAGGCTAGAAGTCTGACATGAGTCTTCCTGGGTAAAATGAAGGTGTCAGCAGGTCTGTGGTCTTTCTGGAGGTTCAACAAGGGAATCCATTTCTTTGCCCTTTCCAGTTTCCCGACCCTCCCACATTCCTTGTTTCAGGGACCCCTTTTTCCATCTTCGACACCAAGAACAGTGCGTTTCTGTGCCTTTTTCCATACTCACATCTTCCTCTGACTTATTCTGACTTCTGCCTCCCTCTTCCACTGCGAAGGACCCTGTGACTAAGCTGGGCCCACCCAGATAATTCATGTTAATTTTCCCTATTAAAGTCAGCTGATTAGTACCCTTAACTTCATTGGTAATTTTGAATCCTCCTTGCCATGAAGCATAATATATTTACAGGTTCTTGGAATTAGGTGGCGGCATCTTTAGGGGTCATTATTCTGCTTCCCACTGGGGCAGATGAGGGAGAGACCACTGGCCTACTGCTGTACATCCCAACTTCCATTGTTTTACTCATCTCAGGGAACTCATCACAGAATCCCTACCTCTCTCCCTCCTGCTCTTTAATCAGTCCTCAGGGGACATGGAGAGGGGCAGCAGAAGCAGCCTCTGGGTTGGGGTGGTGGTGGTGACGTCAGACAGGAGTGGATGGTGAAGTGACCACAGCAGGGCATGTTGTGCGCAGACACAGTGGACGCTGAAGTGGGTATGGAGGTATCTGTCTACCAGGAATTCTCCTCGGACCTCAATGACAACACTTCTCAGTCCTATAAGAATTTCAGCAACAGCTTCCTGGATCAGGTGAGGGGGAAGGTGAGGGAACACAAAGGTCCTCCCCTGGAGCTGGGCTTGGGCCTTTGAGTGCCCTCTGGTCTGGAGGTTCAGACATGAGCCCAGAAATCTTGGCATTTCAGATACAGAGAATTTACCAAAATGTGCAGGGGTTCAAGGATGTGAAGATCCTGTCCCTGAGGTACGAGACCCTTCTGGGGCAGAGGAGGGAGTGTTAAGGGAGGGGAAGGTGATACAAAGGAGGGCTGGAGAATCCATCCCTTGCTTTAGGAACCACCGGATTTCATAAAGAGAGGGGTGGAGAGAGGATGCCAGGGAACCCCTCCATGGGGGGTATTTTATGATCATTTTCTAGATCATTTCTCTGTCGGAGGGATGCCACCCCTCTTCTTGAAGCACGTTGGAAGGAGAATGATTGCATGGGACATGCCTGAGTATTGGTAGGAAGCCTGGTGTCTGGACCATAGCTGGTCTCTTTCTGGTTGGCACCTAGTCTGCTGAATGGGTTAGAAGAGTGAGGCAGAGTGTCCAGGAGGCCCTGGTTTGATTATGGTTTGATGCAGTGCAAAGAGAATGCCAATCATTCTTTGTCTCACCTACCCAGACTGATAAAGGCAGAGATGCTGGCAACCCCTTCTGGATGTAATGTGTCCAAAATGCCAATGCATTGCCTCTGCCCCTATACCCCCAACACCCATATATTTGTGGTTGGTCCAGAAGTGCCCTTCTAAAGACCTATGTAGCCTGGCCCTAGGCACTTCTTGAGGCCTCCTGCCCCCTCGCCCCCCTCAGGAATGGCAGCATTGTGGTGGACTATCTGGTTCAGCTGGAGTTACCCTTCAGCCTCCAACTGGAGAGTGAGTATGAGAAGGTGAAGATAGCCCTGAAGGAGGAGCTCCAGAATGTTAGCCAAGATGGGAACAGCTGCCAGAATGACCAGGGTGAGCAGAGACTGAGGGCCTTGGCCTGGAGGGAGGGGTCAGGGTCACTGCCACCATCCCAGCCTGCTCCAGCTCAGACAGGGGCCTCCTTGGGATCAGATGCCAGCCCTGCGGTACTTCTGGCAGGTTGGGAAAGGAGACACAGGTCTACAGCCAACTGGGTCAACAATGGAGCTGAGAAGGGGCTTGCCAAAACCTGGGGGCTGCAGAAGGGACAGTTTCACTCAAGATTTCCAGGGTGGCTGAGGGTCCCTGATTATTTGGGAGATATGAGGAAGGCCAAAAGGGCTCTCCCTTATGGCCCATCCACACCTCCCCCATACTGACAGACCCTTCTCTGTGCCTCCCCCAATTCTTCCTGTACCTGTGTGGTTCTCCCCCCAAGACCTGTGTTTTAAGCCTGATTCCATCAAGTTGAACAACATCACCAGGACGGAGCTGTCTCCAGAAGGTGAGACGTGGGGCAAAGGACTGAGTGGCCCCAGGAAGCCATGACCCCTCCCACAAGGGACATCTGTCCCTAGAGAGGAGGGGGAGACCTTTCGGGGCGGCAAGTGATGTGACCCCCACAGGGCTGCCTCCCTGGCCCTTGTTAGCAGCTTCCACCTGAGGGCCAGCAGGGGAGGTGAGGAGCGGGTAAGAGGCCTGCCCTCCCCTCCCCTCATCTAATCCCAGAGGGTACCCCTTGACACCCCACCTTCAGAAATCCATTTTCAGAAAGTCCTCATCCATTTTCAGAGTCATCATAGCCAGACCCCAGAGTATAGTGGATGAGGTCTTTGTCTTTGCAACCCCCTATCTCCCCCTCCAGCCATCTGCAGCCGCGCCGCTGCCGAGGGCTACGAGGATTTCTACTTCCCCTTGCTGGTGGAGAACCGGCTCCGCTGTGTCACCAAATGCACGAGGGGCGTGGACGGCGCCATCGACTGTCATCAGGGCCAGTGCCTTCTGGAGAGGAGCGGTCCTGCTTGCCGGTGAGGCCCCGCCCACAATCAGGGGGGCCAATCACCCGACTTCACACAACCGGCCCCGCCCGAGGCCCCGCCCACTGGCCCCGTCCACCTGCCAGCCCCAGCGTGCTCTAGGGGCGCCAGTGGACCAGGCACGGGAGGTGGTGAGGGTATGTGACCTGTGACCCCCTCCCCCAGCTGCTTCTCCTCTGACACGCACTGGTTCTTGGGCCCGCACTGCGAGGTGTCCATTCCCTGGAGGGCGCTTGTCGGGGGCCTGGCGGGGGCCTCAGCGCTGATGCTGCTGCTGGTGGCGCTGAGCGTCTTCCTGGCACGCTCCCGGAAGAGTGGCGGCCAAGGCGGAGGCCGGTGAGTGAGCTGGGGGCGGAAGGGTGAGGGTGGCACAGGGGTCCCAGATAGGGCAGCCCTGTGCTGATGGCGGTGCTCCGACACAGGTCCTGGGATGACAGAAAGTGGTTCGAGACCTGGGATGAGAATACCGTGGGGACTTTTTTAAAGTTGGGCTTCGAGGATGACGGAACAGGTGAGTCCTGCCTCCTGGGGAAGGGGACAAGGACGCCCCCTTGGGGGGGCTTGAGCAGGACTGGATGACCTCTCTTGCCCAGGGCAGGCATATACATCTTGTCCCCAGTCTTGTGCCCTTGCTTCCCTGCACCCTTTCTAGTGCCCAGGTCTTGCACAGACCATCCTGGCAGGGCAGGCACAGGGGCACAGGAGCCCCCTGAGGCCCTGCCTTCCTAACATTTCCTTCCTTCCCCCTCTCTCCTCTTTTCTCTCTAGTCAAGGATGGAGCCTTCCATGTGGCTTTGGAGAATGTGGACAGCAATGTGAGGGTGAGAGGCCAAGGAGGGGTGATAGTAAGCTCTCCCAGGCATCCAGCTCCAGATGGCCCTCTCCCAGAGGGCAGGGCTGGGCTGGGTCCAGGAAGCAGTGACTTCCCAGCCAGCCCCAGTAGGGTGGCTCCCTGTTCTCACTCTGTGTCTCACGAATTCTGTGGCAGATGCACATCCACAGATCTGAAGTGACCTCGTCCTCACTGTGAGTCCCGCACTACCTTCTCCATCCCGTCCTGGGCAGCGGAAAGAACCATCTGCATTGCATTTCAAGAGGTGGCCAAGGACTTGTGCAGCTGTCTGCTGGTTTCCTTGGGCAAAATCAGACTCTCCCCCGACCCCCTTCCTTCTCCCAATTTGGGTGAAACCCATCTGGAGACTCAGTTCAAATCCAGGCTCTTCCACTGTGGGACCTTGGGCAAGTCAGTAACTTCTCTGAACCTCGGTTTCATCACCTGTAAAATGAATGCGGCACATTCGTCCCGATACCTGGTGGAATTATTGTGAAAACCAGATATGCTTCGTCAGACCTCTGTCCCAGTGCACCTTCCTGTGTCGGCCCTCATGCTTATATGGCTTCTCTTAGATCCTCAAGCCCCACATCCTTCCCTGGGTCTCAGGCCTCTATCTCTCATTTTCCAGTGTACATCCCCATGGCCTGTTCCTCACCCCACACCTGCAGCCAGCCTGCAGCCCGCCCTCCCCACCCTCTGTGTGTGACCCCCTGCTGTTCTCCTTGCTCCCTTCAAGCTCCTCTTCTGCACCCACTTAGGTCACCCCTCCCCCACCACAGTGCCTCGCCCTGTGTCTCCCCCTAGTTTCCATATTTCCCCCTTCCCCATCTTTGTACCCTCAGCCCTAAATCTTGCCCCCATTCAGTGCCCCAGTCCTAAATCCTCCCTCCCCCAGCCCCTGCCCTGTCCCTAGCTAAGGATGCCCTCTGCTTCTTAGGACCCCCAGCTCCATTCTGAGGCCTCATCCCTTCCTGTCACCCCAAGGGCCCTGGACCCTGGTGGATGGGGGTGGGAGGTAGGTTTCCCCAGGCCAGGTCCCCCAATCTGAGGCCCCATCCCTTCCTGTCACCCCAAGGGCTCTGGATCCTGGTGAGTGAGGCTGGGAGGTAGGTTTCCCCAAGTCCCTGAAGATGAGAGGAAGTGGGACCCCAAAGTGGAACAGCTCCCCCAGCAGCTCCTCCTCATTCCCCTAACTCTCCCTCCCCTCCCTTACTGCTTCCCCTCTTCCCACCCCCTTCTCACCTCACCTCCCCCTTCTTCTTCCTGGTCTCACCTCCATCCCTACAGTAACCACTGAAGCCAGAAGCCCCCTGCCTCCTTTGCAGAAAGATCTTATTTGGGGACAGGAAGTCTGCGAGTCTCCAATTCTCCCAAGTGAATATAATACAGCATTTATTGTAAATGAAACTGCTCTGTGTCTTTCTCTTGCTCATTCTCCAGTGCCTCCACTTGGTTGGGGAACAAAGACCTCAGGGGAGGGGTTGTAGGAGGGCCTAGGAGCCCCACTTTCTCCCAACAAGAAAAAAAGGGGTCTGTGGGCAGCCCTCAGGGGCCATGACTGTCCTCAAAGGGAACAGAGAGATTGGAGGACCCATCTTCTTAGGAAGTGGGTGGGAGCAGGAGGTGGCAGCTGCTGGGTTTGTCACCTGGGCCCCTTGACGTCAGGAGCTTAGGGCTGGATCAGGGAGGTGGGTGACTCAGGCTGGGTCAGCTGTCATTTGTGTTAGGCATCCCCAAAGACCTTCAGACTATAAGCCTTTGTGTGGCAGACACAGCCTGGGGCTGCAGCCCTCTTGTTCCCACTATTGTGTGCAGCCACGCCTGCTGGACTGAAGCTGAGGGTGGTCAGGGCCAGACAAATGAGGTTCTTTAGGTGGTGGGGGGGTGTCAGAAAGTCCCCTGGGACCTTTGTCCAGGATGGGAGAGGAACTGGCAATGGCCAGTGTGAGGGTGGAGACCAGAGCCATAAAGCCCCAGGTGTGAGCGGGAGCCCCACCCAGCAGAAGCATTACTGGTCAGAGGTGGCCCTGGGGAAGGCGCCGTGCTACTTCAGAAGGGCCAGCTGGAGGTGGATGATGAGGAAGGAAGGGCCGGAGGGGGACCTCTCAGGAGTCAGGGCAGAGGGTCCTTCACTTGGCCTGGCCTGTTGCTGACAGCTTCTTCCAGGGTTCTGTCGCCCCTTCCTCCGTAGTCACTATCTCCTGGTACTTCTTGGCCCCCGCCTCTTAGCAACCATCACACACTCTCACCTCTGAATTCTTGTCCCTCCCTCTTGCCCTGCCCCACCCATGACTCTGGCTTCTGCTTAATAGAGACCCTGGCTGAGGGCAGTTCAGGTCTCCCAGACTTAGGCAGGAGAGTTGACCAGCTGCCCTTAGGCCAACTCCCTGTGGTCATTATGTGTCACCCACTCAGCCCCATCATCACGCCTCCACCCTGGGCCAGGTGCTGTCCTTCCCAAGGCAAAGGTCTCCGAGGTCCTTTATATAGCTGGTCCCTCCCTGGGAGGCACTTATTTCTCCGTCCCTCCTGATGAGGGAAGACCCTGCAGCCAGGACTTCACTCTCTGGGAGATGCTGGTGATCTGGATCCTACCGCTGGCTCTCTGGCTTTCTGTGGCCACTGCTGTCACAGCCAAGACAAACGGTGAGTAAGACTTGGCCCTGGGGTCCCTGGTGGTCCCAGTGTGCATTGATCTCAGGCAGGGTTGCAGCTGGCTGGCCTCCTGCCTTCCTTCCCTCCCTCATTTTGCAGGGGAAGGGGCTGCCTGAGGGCTGGACACCCAGGCTGTGCCCTCATCCTTAGGGATGCTGAAGGGGTCACCTTGGAGACCTGTGGGTTTAGAGGGAGGGGCCTGGCTTATGCTGTGCTGTTGATGGTCTGCACTAATCCCCAGGCCCGGGGCTGAGTGGGAGATGGACTCCATCCATTCTGTTCTCCAGGCTTCTCTCTGGGGGGACAGGGGGCTTTCTTCAACTAGATGGTGGTCTCTGCCTGACCTCATCCTGGGGGCTGCATTGGCCGAAGGGTCAGCTCTTTCCAAAACTCACAGAGGCACTGCACAGGCTGCCAGCCCTGGCTGGGGAGGGAAGGAGTCCATGGAGTGCCCAGAAGCTTCCCTCCTTGCTTGGGGAGAGCCACCAGGGCTCCTGGGAAAGCCCCTCTAGTTAGAAATGGCTGAAGGGCTGAGGAGGAAACAGGCTCTTGTTGAAACTTGTCATGACCATTTGTCTGGGAAGAGACTGGTTACAAGCTGATTTCTCATGGGTTCCCGCATGGAGAACAGACTTCCTGATTTCCCTGAGACAGGGAAGAGCCCCGAGGAAGGCAGGGGCAGGATGGATGCAGGGTGAGGAGCACTCAGGGAGCATGCCCAAGGTGCCAGGCGAAAGAAGAATCTCCTGAGTTGAAGGACCTGCAGGATGTGTGGGGAGGGATGATGAGTGCGCAGGGGTCTCTGGAGCTCTGCAGGGCGGCCATGAGAGAACCCATGTGGGAACTTAGGCCCTCAGAGGCCATCTCAGCCCTCCACACCCTGACATAGTTCCTTCTCCACTACCAAGACATGTCGAGGGCAGCAGTGCAGGCTGGGAGGAGCCCAGAGGTGAGGAGCGAGGACTGGAGATGTGAACTTCAGGGATTTAGGTACATCACAAAAATATGTTAATTATATATCGATTAGCTTTAAGCTAATATACAGAGAAAAGGAAGCTATGGGTGAGGGTCAACCTTAGGAAGGGTTCCCCCATCCCTGCTCCACAGGCAGATGCTGAGGAGAGAGATGGTGATGATGACAGTGATGAAGGACCCAAAAGTCAGTAAGCTCATTGCCTCAGTGCCTCCCTCCAAGCCTATGGATACAGCCACCCTCACAAGCAAAGACCCTTGTTGCTTAGAATTGTATGGAAAAGATAATTGACACAGGTGAATTCAGTAGCATGCAAAATAGTCAAAAAGCATCTATCTCTGATAAATGCAAAGAGCCACCAGGAGTTGGGAGGTCAAGCCAGTGGGGCCATGCCGGGGAACTCCAGAAGGTCTGATGATGCTCCGAGACCCCCTGCCCGCCACTCACAGAGGGCTCTGCTAGTTACAAAGCAATTCTACAGCATGTAGCCTTAATGACTCTCATAAAGAAGATGACGTAAGAAAGGGAAGACAGGAAAGCGAGGCTCAGAGAGGGTGAGTGACCCACCTGGGACCAGCATGACCCATAATTAGGTGATAATTAGCATGACCTCACCCATTTGACACTAGGTTGGTGCTGCCCCGACCTCACACTGAGGCCTGAGGCCCTCTGCAACACCTCCACCTCCCCGCTTATATTCTGGGTCCTCAAGGAGGGATTCAGATGTTAGGTCAGAAATAATGTAAAAGGAAAAAAATAAAATGAGTGAAATCCAAACATAGGATGCTGTAAATAATGTAGAAGGAAAAAATAAAATTAAAAAAAATCCAAACACAGGTGGCATCTGTAGTTCTTTGTTTCTAATCTGCTCCCTCCGCTGGGTACTCCCTTTGGCTGTGAGCACTGATGAGGTTTTGGACAAATGAACAGTAGGGAGAAGAAATGCCAACTTGAGAAGGTAGAAAAAGCACTGTGGAGCTGTGCAGGGGAAGCCCCAAAGGTGAGGGGCGTGTGCTGGGTAGGGAAAACATGGTGGTGAGGGAGCACCTTCTGGTAACAGGAGCACTGAAAGCAAGCAGATCTCAGACATTGGAGGACCTCCAAGGACTGAGCAGAGGTGAGTCGCCCCTGCCGGGACAGATATGAAGAGAGGCATTGACAGCCATCCTGGCATGAGGCCATGAGGGTCCAGCTGGAACCTAGGAAATGGGAGAGGAAGGTTCCTCTTGATGGGCTGTGTGGGCACCAAGATGGCCCTCCAGCCCGTGTGACTGGGAGGCCAGGAGACTCTTTTTGGTGGTTGATGATGGGCCTCAGGCAGACCTGTTGAGCTTGAGGTGACTGTGGAACTTCTCAGTGGAGCTGTGTTGGAGGCCTGGGGCTCAGGAAGGAGGCAAAAATATGGATGCAATCTAGAACTCTCCATTCTCCGTGTGCTGCAGGGGCCACAAAGACCAGACAGTGCCTAGGGTCAATATTCGGATTGGAGTCTGTCTTGTTTTGTGCACATGAAGTTCCAAAGCATTCATAGTAAGGGTCGGGGAGGGGAGCCTCTCAGGATGGCAGCGAGGGACAGGGACCAAAGGCTGGCACAGGGGCCTCAAGGGGTCAGAGTCCTGGAGCCGGTCGAAGTGAAAGTGGAAACGTTCAACATATAAAATTGGGAACAGCATGCTGAAGGCCAGAATAGAGTCATTCATGGCAGGCAAAGGGGCAATCTTTGAAACATGTGTGATGTAAATCTAGAGCAATTAAAAGGAAGGGGTGTTTTAGGCAGAGGATAATAAACTTACTCATTCAGCAAACACAGGAGGCCTGGCTCTTTCGCGGCAGGTGCCGGTGCTCTGAGTGAGGCAGGTGAATTTGCCAGGTTGTGGTCTTGTTTATTAGGTGGAAACTTGGGAGTGGGGAGGAAAGAACCTCAACCCAAGGCTGGGGCAGAGGCTCGAAGAGCGGCCCTGCTGCAGCAGTTGGGAGGTGGGGTGCGAGCACGCAGAGGCTGAGTCTGCGGGCTGAGCCGGGAGACTCTAGGTGGCTTTGGAATTTGCTGGCTGACACGGAGTAGTGCAGGGAGGAAGTATTAAGAGATATTCAAGCCTCAGACAATTTCCGAACAGGCAAACCATGCGTAGCTATGAATAGAACTGGGATTTGACAAAAAGATTCCCTGAGTACAAGAAATCAGGAAGTCACACTCGCCTGTGGCCTGGATATGACATGAAGAATGCTGGCGTTCACTGAGGGCCTAAGATATGCTATAGACACTGTTCTAAATGATATCTGTTGTCTCGCAGTTACCTTTCCCAGCCACCCCAGGAGGAGGTGCTGTTACTGACTTCTGTTTTAGACCCGGGGAAACTGAGGCACGGAGATATTAACTAACTAGTCTAAGATCCCCCATCCAGCAAGTGCAGGAGCCAGGGTGTGACCCCCATGCTGTCAGACTCCAGAGCCCACCTTCTTTACTGCTTGCTCTGACTGGAGATGCCCATGTGTGTTAGTTTCCTGGGGCTGCTGCAGCAAATTACTATAAATGTGGTGGCTTCAAACAACAGAAATTTATTCTCTCCACCACTGTGGAGGCCAAAGTCCGAAATAAGGTATCATCAGGGTCTGGTCCCTTCAAAAGCTCTAGGGAAGGATCCCTCAGTGCCCCTGCCAGCTTCTGGTGGTTCTTGGCGTTCCTTGGCTTCCCGTCTCTGTCTCTGTCTTCACACGGCCTTCCTCCTTGTTTGTG